CCCAGCCCTGCCCCCCCCAGCTCTGCCGGTGCCCCTCACTCCCGACCCGCAGCCCCTGCCAGCCCAGCCATGCCCTGTCCCCCCAGCTCTGCCGGTGCCCCTCACTCCTGACCCGCAGCCCCTCCACAATCCTAGCCCCAGTTTTGCCTGGATTTGTGCCAGGCTAGGATGCTCCAGGCTCATTCATCTCTGCTCCCCCCGCCCGCCATGTCCCCTCCCTGTCACTGCCGCTCCTAACTCCTGCGCCTGGCTCCTTGCAGCGCTGCTCGCCGTGGAGAGCGACACCTTTGGGAGCCACGTTCGCATCAAGGGCAAGGAGACGGGCTACTACGTCTGCATGGACAGGAGAGGGAAGGTGCTGGGCAAGGTATGGGGCTGCCCTGGGCAAGGCGTGCCCGCTCCGGGGGGCACAATGCCCCTGTTCCTCCAGGGCTCCCCAGCACCCCCAGGCTGCCCCGGTCCCTTCCTGCTCCTCCCAGAGAGCCCAGCAGTGGGGGCCAGGCCTGCACCCCTGAGCCACCTGGGGACACCCCCACCCCTGCCCAGGTGAGGGGGCAGCCAGCGAGTGCCCCGGCCCCTCCCCAGAGCCAGCAGGGTGGCTGGGCCAGGGCCAAGGGGCACCCAGGCTCACTGGGGGGCTGGGCCCGGCCTGGCAGCCTCCCCGGGGGGGTCACAATGACCAAGCCACACCCCAGGCCTAGGCCGGGCCCTGCGCTGTGGCTGGGGCTTCATGCGGCCTTAGAGTGACATCTGCTGGCATCCCCCTGCCTGTGCCCCCCCAGCCTCTCCACTCACCCCCAGCACCCTCACCTGCCTGCCTGCGTCCCCCACCTGCCTGCATCCCCATCGCCTCCCCCCTCGCCCACAGCAACCCCGCCTGCGCTCCCTGCCCCCTCCCCATATCCCGCATCACCCCATCCACCTGCATCTCACACCCCTGCCCTTCTGCATCCTCATGGCCCCCCCACCGCCTGCCAATGCCCCCCACCCGCCTGTCTCAGTTTCTCTCTTTCCCCCAGCTGGATGGGCGGAGCCAGGGCTGTGTCTTCGTGGAAGAAGTCCTGGAGAACAACTTCACAGCCTTCATGTTGGCCGGGCACCGGGACTGGTTCCTGGGCTTCACCCGCAAGGGGCGGGCACAGAGGGGGCCGCGCACCCACCGGACCCAGCGCGAAGGGCACTTCATGAAGAGGCCCCCCCAGGGCACAGGGGGCGAGGGGCAGAGCCCATTCCGCTTCACCGCCCTCACGCCTCGGACTAAGCCGGCCCTGGGGCCCTAGAGCCAGGGGCCCGTGCCCAGCCGGTGCCCCCAGGACATGCCGAGATCAGCACGGCGAGGAGACGGGCTCCCAGCATGCAACGCTCCCCCCGCCAGGCTGGCTTCAGAGCCGCGGGGGCAGAACTCCCAGCATGCAGTTCTGCTGCTCCGGCCACGCCAAGGAGGGGTGGGCTACCAGCCATGGGGGCGGGACACAGGCTCTGCCCCACATGCCAGCTGGCTTGCAGCAGTGCATGCTGGGATGTCGGTCCCATGGGCTGGACACGGGAGAAGGAAAGGTTGTGGCCCCACAGCGCAGGGCATGGCTGGGCCGGGCGCTGCTGCCCCACAGCTCGTGACAGCCGGGTCACCCCACACGCCGCACAGGGAGCCGGGCACTGCCCCACAGCCCGTGACAGGCAGGTCACCCCACACGCCGCACAGGGAGCCGGGCACTGCCCCACAGCCCGTGACAGGCAGGTCACCCCACACGCCGCACAGGGAGCCGGACGCTGCCCCACTGCCCGTGACAGGCGGGTCACCCCACACGCCGCACAGGGGCTGCCCCACAGAAGGGCTGGTTTCGTCCTGCCAGAGGGGCAGGCACAGAGCACCAGGCTGCTGTTAATTATTGTTACTAGAACTAGTTGATGGGTTAATTTAATTAAATATTGCCATGCTTAGCGTGGGTTTTAGGCCTGGGAGTCTGCTTCTCTCCCCTTGCGTCTGCTGCACCTGGGGAGAGGCTGGGCCGGCCTGGGGGGCCTGCTGGGCATGGCCCATGACTTCAGAGCTCACCAGGCCAGCCCAGGGCAGGGGGAAAGGATGGAGGGGTGGGAATGGGGGACGTTTGCTTGTTGGGGGGAGGGGAGGGGGTAAGTATTGCTGTGTGGAGAGGGGTGGGAACGAGGGAGGTTTGCCTGTTGGGGGGAGAGGAGGGGGTAAGTATTGCTGTGTGGAGAGGGGTGGGAACGAGGGAGGTTTGCCTGTTGGGGGGAGAGGAGGGGGTAAGTA